TCAAGTGCACTCCCGTTCATATGAATCAGTTTATGTCGTGGTTGGAATATAATCGTGTGCATGTCCATGTTCGCGTCTATACATACGTCGAGTTTTCTGTGCGATATCTTTGGGATCCTGTCAGGTCGTGGTATCCCCGTAGTTATCCTCCTCGGGTTGATGCTATGCCTCGGTTGGTTCATATCCCAAGAAATGCTGGTGAAGTTTATTATTTGCGGGTTCTATTGGGTGTTGTCCGGGGTCCAACATCTTTTAAGGATATTCGTACGGTTGGAAGAGTTGTCTATCCGACCTTTCGTGGTGCCTGTATGGCTTATGGTTTACTTGATGATGACTTGGAATATGTTTATGCCATTGTCGATATAATGTGTTGTTATCCTGGTCATATGGTTTCCTCTTTTATTCTTACACTTACAAATTCATTGGGTTTTGTTAGATGTAATGCTGTTTTGGTTTCTTTGTTTGAACGTTTATCAGTTCTTCTCTCTTAAATAATAATATATATTTTTACAATAGATTGTATTCTTATTCTGTTTTATATTTTATCTGTGTATTCGTGTTTATCGAATCGTTTAATCTCTTATCGATGTAGACTGTCTTGTATGTTAGAATATGTTTTTCCGATATTATAAACTGTGTGAGGGAGTTATTCATTCCAATTTAATACTGTTTATTGATCGTGTTATAGACGGTGTATATTGTTCGTTGAATATGTAGCCTTTTTGTTGCGATATATTCGATAGTACTAAGAATTGTAATCATCTCATAACGTAATTAATCCCTAATGAATTATATTTTTTCGTCCTTATGTATATTGTTGATATTTTATGTTTTGAACTAATCTATTTTTACGTTTTAGGACGATGTGTGTACTGACTACATATTATCACCTCTTGAACGTAATGTTGTTAGCTACCGGGTCGTTGCAGTTTAGCTATAGCATGTTGTGTTTCACCGATACTATACTAATATACACGCGATATTGTGATACGTTATGTTAATCTTTTAGTGAATAATAAATATTATTTTTATAACTGAAAATTTTTCTTGGAGATAGGTTCAAAAAAACAGAAAAAATTATCACTTTTTTAGTAAATAATTTGAAAGGAAATATATGCTCTTGTGTGATATATATCTTTTTATGTTGACATTTTCTAATATTGATCTTTTAGTGAATGATATCTTATTGTTGGAAAACGTAAATTTTATCGTCTTTTGGTATATATTGTTCGTAAGTGATGTATATCGTTCTAAGTTGTAAGGAAATCCTCTTACGTGATATATATCATTTTATGTTGACATTTTCTAATGTTAATCTTTTGGTGAATGGTATATATTATTATTGGAAAATGTAAATTTTCCTTGGGGATATGTCCAAATCACGAAAAAAAGATTATCGTCTGTTGGTGTATATTGTTCATAAGGTAATGTATGCTTTTTGCCGTATATATTGATTTATACTAGCATTTTTTATGTTAATATTTTGGTGAATAGTAAATATTACCCTTGCAAAATGTAAATTTTACTTGGAGATATGTTCAAATAAAAAAAAAGGGTATATCTTCGTTTGCTATATATTATTCGTAAGGTAATATATCCTTTTTTTGCCGTATATATTGATTTATATTGACATTTTCACGCAATATAGTATCTCCTAAATATTGTATTGATATAATTATCGTGTTTATGTTTAGCTAATCGGTTAAAATTTAATTAAACCAACCTATCCTGCTATAAATATTGGCCTGATCTTGTGTTTAGTTTTAAATCATTATACACTTTTACCTCATCACCATCATATACTCCCTATAATCATGTCTTATCTCCGAAGGAAATTCGCTGTTCCTGTACTGGTCGGTGAGATCGATCTTTCCACGGATAGGTATATTCTGAGTTTACGTATCATTAAGCTCTGGAAGACTTGGAAAAATAAAAAGGTCGTTTCCATTGACATGGTTTGTCATGATAGAGAGGTTGGTGTTCTTTACTCATTTATGTTTTTTTCTTTTTGCTCGGTCGTGTATGTTTAGTATTTGAATTTTTTAAATGATTTGTTTGTTTCATATCGATGATGTGGTTCAGGGTACTAGGATTCATGCAACTATTGATGAGGAGTTGGTTGTCAAGTTTCAAACTCGGATGATTGAAGGTCGAGTCTATACTATCAGTAATTTCACTTTTGGTAGTTACACCTCTGACTATAGAACTACCCCGCTCGAGTTTAAGATAGTGTTCTACAGAACTACTGTTGTTCAGCCATGTAGTGATTTTCCCACGGAGGTATCTAATAAGTATCTTAAGGATTTTGCTGAGATATTCGATGGAAAATTTGCCAATGACGTTTTGATCGGTATGTTTTCATTGTGTTTTGTCATATCTCTTAGATTTTTCGTATATGTTATTCATGTTGTATAACATATTTGGTTTCGGTGAACCGTTGATGTAGATGTTATTGGTCAAGTTGTGAATATAACTCCTCTTCAAGTTCTTCAAGCAAGAGGGAAGGACACTCAAAAGATTGACATCATTCTTCGTGATTCTGGGTAG